AATCCGTCTATTTATCATTTAGCCTTATTGAGATAATAATCAGGAGAAGCTGTATTGTCACAAACGCCTAATTTTCTCAGTTGCTTGGGCCAAATGGCTTTCGGGGCGAGGCATATCCTGAAAACCATTTAAAATATCGTCGCCTTTTAATAAGATAAAAATATCAACTTAAAAATAATAGAACGAGGATTAATCCAAAAGCAATCAAATGAAAAGTAATATCAGAAGAGTCATGGCCATCCGGACTTAATCAAGTATAAAGAACAGGAGGTTTGGAGTTGCGAAGGCCAGCAAAGATTTTGCCGTAGGCTAAATTAGATTGATCTGAGGATTTAAAGAAACTAATATTCTGTTTGTTTATTACTAAGGTGAGTGTCAAAGGCGTCAAAAGATTTCAAATTTCAGCAATGACAGTGATGTTTTACTAGCCGGATCATTGAGGCTATAATTTAAATGCGAAGAGGAGCTGGGTTTCGAGGAATCTGCTGTTTCATACTTGTTGAGCCTACTTCCACTTCGAATGAAAGTGAAGTGATTCGAAGGTCAATTCCACCAGAAGATGGCGCCTGATTCCTCTTATTTCATACCAATGCTAAAGCATACATGCACATACTCATGCAGAAACAGATATGCTGTCATGCTCAGATATTGACATATTATTGGAACTAACCAAATCACTTTATACCCCATCAAGAAGGTCAGGTATCGAGTATATATAGAGATTTTATGGATGAGTAAATGGGTTTTTTTGACTCGATATCTTGAATTTATTTGTAAGGATGATACTTTGCTCTGATGATGTTCGTCATATGATGGACGAAAGCTTAGCACGTTTTATATGCGAAAAAAAGTTGAGTTTATAGGAATCGTTTGTTTCATAATTGCTGAGCTTACTTCCATTTCGAGTGAAAGTGTTGGGCTTCGAGGTTGACCTATGACCATAACTAACCAAATCATTTAATACCTGATCAGGGGGGCCAGCTATAGAGTATATATACATCTTTTTTAGGGATTTGCCGGTGAGTTTTCTAGACTCATTAGCTTGAATTTTATTGTGACGATGATATCTTGCTCTGATGATATTTATCATATGACGGACGGAAGCTTAGTATCTTTTTACTTGAATCGAAGAAGATTACCTCACAAACAGGGTCAGCATGAGTCTCCAAGTAAAGCCAATCGATAGCTGATCAAGATGAATCCGCCGTCGTCCTCTGGTGGAATCGACCTTTAAATCTCTTCATTCAACACTTTCACTCAAAATGGAACTAAGCTTAACAATTAGCACGTTTTTACCTAAATCCAAGGTGATTACTTCAGAAACAGCTTTAACAAGAAATTTCGGTAAAGCCAATCGGTAGCTGGTCAAGAGGAATCCGTTGTCTTCCTCTTGTGGGATCGACCTTGGATTATCTTCACCAAATACTTTCACTTAAAATGGAAAAAAGCCAACAATTATAATTTAAATACCAATCATGTTCTGATACTCCTTGGATTATAAATGCAAACTAACAATATTACTGATTACGAGCATAAGAGAGTAGTCGACTGAGAGAAATGAATTTCTTGAGATCATGATTGGCAAAGCAATGGCACTTATGGTGAATGTAAAAATGCTTCAAAACGCTCCAGTGGATGCACATCACAAATTACTTAAAATAAACTGAAATTCAAAATTATATCTTAAGGCAGGTGCTAGGTAAATACCAACACGTGAGTTAAATTATCAGATTAATATGTGTAAAATTTATAAATTATGTAAAATTATAGGAAGTGTAGAGATTACA